TCAGATTTCTAGAATTTGAAAAAAAAATTTGATCCACACACAACTACAAACCACTACATGCGAGTTCTCAGGAAGAAATGTGATCATTTCCGTCGGAAATATTGACTCAAATGCAAGCCTAGAACCCAGGTTTCTAAACACGAGTACATCTTTTTAAGATAACATTACAGTTCTGTAAATAATGTAAGATCACAACTCTCAATCTGCCAACAGGATCCTCTTGCAATGAAAAATCAAGTGAGACACCCTCATTGAAGCTGATTTTACATGGTAATAGTGCGTGCCATGTACATGCAAATGTACGCCATGTGCCAATCGCCTAAAAACCAAAATCCAATATCAATTAGAAAAATAACAGAGGAAAAATCTCCTAATTGTTCACCAGGTTGGGTTTAGAACTTCAAATTACCTCCCCCCGACAGTCTGGTAATGTCTTCCTCCCGCTGGGGAGTAGGGTTATCGTCATCGAATTCAATCCATTTCCCTGTCAAATTTTGACTCAGTTTAATTCACAGAAAACTAAACATAAACTCGTTAACATGGCAATGAGAGGGTTTTACAGAACTGACCATTTTCTTGCTTCACCCAAGCAACATAATGCCCTGAATCGGCACTTCTACCTTTGTGGGTTAGCACGGCAACCAAATCATAAATTCCAGTTAAATGAGTTTGCTTGGCAGATGGATTGCCTGAGCCAAAAGGCAGCAAAGAATGTGTTACTTTAATAAAAGACAGCTACAAAAGGGTTTTCTTGCATCTTAGGTTGTTTTTACTTTAAAGCGCGTTGTTGGTGGTCAAAAAGAAAGAAAAGAAAAGGAAAAACAGTGTTATCAAAATGCTTCCCGAAAAGGGTTAAGAAACTGATTAAAGTAGGTTGGTAGAAAATTACCTTCTTGGGATGTAGTTGCGGATGCTTCTCCACTTGCAGTTGATGATCCCTGCATTAAATAATAAATACTCTTAAATCATATCAAACACGTTCATCTAGGCTTCATACTTTACATGTAAATATACAGTTAACCAATTTAGTCACCTCTCCATCAGTCATCTTGACATCACTGTCTTTAGAACCAGAGCTCTTCTCATTTGCTTTTAGACCGAGCTTCTTACCTTCCTCATCTCTTAGAATCTGAAGTTGAGATTGTGATCAATGTGTGAATTAAATTTAAATTAGAATCACAAAACCAGAAGGCAAGTTGGTACCTGGCGAGGAGTTTCGAGGTTTTTGCGAAGATCATCAGAACACAGATCATAAACATCCAGCTCAAGCGGAAAATCCACTTTCTGAGAAGACAAACACATATCTTATGATGAACTGAAAATATTCCTTATGGGCTTTAATCTACTACGAGCAAGTGTCTAACAAAGACATGAATTAATATCAAATACTATAATCATTTGCCAAGAAGACAGCATTAACATACCCGTAATATCTTTGCCTTCTGATTTGATTCCCTCTTCCAGAAGAAACGGACAAACTGGATGGTCAAGTACCTTTAAAATGGAAAGTCCATGAGCCAAGAATTTTTTTTCTATAGAGGAGAAAAAAGGGAAAAAGAATTTTCTTCTCTTTGAAAAGGAAGGTCAGGTAGAAAGAGAAGAGCACAACAAGGCAATCTTGGATGATGGTAAGGTCAGGAAAGAAATCTCAGACAACATTTCAGCAAACAAGTAAACTACAATCCACAAAGGGAGCAAAAACAAAGAAATTGAAAAAAGCATAAAGAGAAGCCATTAGTTACCTTGGCAAGCCACTTATACGTGACTCTTTCAAGTAAATGGCACTGCGGCCTAGAGCAGGTGAAGCCTTCTCCAATTCTGATTTCAAACCCTAAATATGGATAGTCATACAGAAATCTTATTGACCATCACAGGACTCAAAAAACAGATTCTTTGATGGACTGCCCAAAGTTTGTCTGCACCAGTAGAGTGGCTAGGAGCCTAGGGCAACTCCCTCAATAAAGAAACCAGGGCAACATTGTTATAAAGAACTTCAATTTCAAACATCATGAAGAGGGTGTTGAACCCAATCAATTCCACATTCTTTTTTCACACTGCAGTAGAAGCTACTACTACAATTATGAAAAGTACAAAAGTGATGAGAATTCTCAAGATTTTAAATTCTTTTCTCATTGATAACTAGGATGCCCAGATTATATTGAGAATAAAGTATGCTTATTCCTTTAGAATACCGTAAAGCACACAATGAGTAGAAAACAGATGATTCAAAGCTTCCAGTGATCAAAAATCACATTTTCCAAGAAGCTAAAAGCATGAAAAACCAGACAGCTATAGTACTTACATGCTTTAGTCCTTCATGTAAGTGGTTCACCTCTTGTGAAATGTGGCATTTAAGAGAATAAACTGATTCAGTCTCAGAGCTTTCTTCACCACTTTCTTGGCAATGTGTCCTGGAAATCATACATATTCAATAATATCAGAACAGTAACTGGTCTTATGGCATTCCAGGCACAAAAAGAGCATGGATAGATTTGGTGGTAATCTTGCATAGTTGACTTCTAGCCTTGTTCTATTGTTTTACCCTTCTATTGTGTTACCTTTATATGCAATGGAAAATTTAGTGATATGTCATGGTTTAAATTTTCTAAGTAGATCATGTATGGCTCATCGTCTAATTGACCTCCTATTTATTGTAGTCTTACAGACTGCAACCTCTAAATAAATGGCTTTATTCTTTGTAGAGCATTACCAGCATACAGGTCAATGCACACACCCACCCTAAATCAGTTTCAATTTTCAACCATTAGAATAAGGTACAAACACATAGAGGAACCACATAGATTAATTGTCAGTAGTTTTTGAAGCTAAATGAGCATAAATATTTTTAGATATGTATCAGTAGATATATGAAACAGAAATAAATATCTACAAGTCCAAATACATGGACAATCAGATAAATTAGCAATCTCAGAAACAGAAGAAAAGTTGTGTATATAATATAATAGAAGCAAAAATTACTGAACCCTTGCAGAACTTCACAGCAATACATGCTACCTAACCTTCAACCTCTGATTTCAGAATATTAAATCTCAATAATAGAAGCTTAAACACTCTACCTGCTTACAAATTCTATACCAAAGAGAGCCTTCACAGTATCAGGATTTTCACTGCAGGAAAAAATTTAAATAACCCAAAAATATATTAATAAGTTGATATCGGTTATCAAGATTAGAAGAATATGCTGCTGAAAGTATAATAGAGTCCAAATGTTAACATAGGCAAATACTGCTTAAGCAAAATATAATCAGTCCTGTGGAAAAAGATTTGAGGAAAACCAGAGTATAAAATGACATGCTTATGTTCAATCATTCAAATCACCAAGGGTACCATTGTCATTTCTTAATGAATGTAAAAACCAAAGTACCTGGAACCTGGAGATCTAAGAGACTGAGAAAGGGTGTATAACAGTTGCGTCCAACATTCTTCAGCATCCTGTTGCAAAATTTAAAGTCAGAAAAACTCAAACTGCTAAAAGATCTAAAACAGCAACATTTTATGGTAAACTGATGAAAAAAGAAAAAAAAACCTGTTGCATGAAGCCACCATTGTGCAATTGGCCAAATTGAGGATACTTTTTGCGCAACACCTGTAGCCAACATCGACAAAATAGATAAGTTTTCCATACCTGCATGTTTTTCAGCAACCAATTTGAAATAGAAAGACAAGGTGACAGTGTGGTGAAGTCAAATAGTAAAATCAGCATAGCACAGATGACAACAATGACAATCCGATGCTTGAGCATTGAAAATAGAAAAATTAGCCATAAAAACAAGTTTGATAGGTTCATCCAGCTAAGTTGGTTGATGTGTGGTATTAAACTGTCTCCACTTTAGTGAGTTTTAATATACATTCTTGGGTTGATTTCCAAACTTCGGTTGATTCCTAGTATTCTACCCAAGATATTTTGAGAAAAGGAATCCTTCATCTATTATTATACCCTAAAAACTTTACGAGGACTAGGAGGGAGGGATTATATGGTGTTGCACTTCATTAATGACAGATTTGGAGGAAACTAACCATCCAAAACTGCATAGGTGCCACAGGTTTGACACTTTTATCTAGTTCACCAAACAAATCACGTGTTGCAGCTGTCAACATATGAGAAGTCTGATCTAACTCGTTGCTTCTTCCAGAATGTGGATACCTGAGCATGGTAAAAAATTGCATGTTACATCTTCATCACTTAGAAAGAATGTAAATCAGGCATGCAATTTTTTTTTTTTTTTGGATAAATCTATATCATTTAGAGTACAAGATAACTTACCTAAGTAAAGCAGATTTCAACTCTGGAACTGAATGCAGGCATTGTACCGTAGAGTTCATGTAGCAGGTATTTCCCAGGTTAATTAGGCCAGCACTATGACCCTGCAAGGTCAAACATTTCTAGGTCAGAGTCTTCAATTTGAACAAATGGGAAAGAATTAAACTGGAAAAACCAAAAAGTAATCTTGATACAACCAATAAAATTAACTAAAATCTAGCCAACTCTAAATTGTACTTGGATGAAGGAAAAAAAAAAAAAAGAAACATGAAGGAGGAGCATAGAGTTTCAAGAATGTAAAACATAAAGTAGAGAATTGGGGAATTAAGTCAGTGCTACTTACCAAAGCTACAACTTGCTCTTCTTCAGGAAGATCTTCTACAAATACAGGGCCCTTCTCAGGGGCCTTCACAATCTCATCTGCAGTTCCCATCATCATCAGTTTTTGACCCTGGAGGAAAAAGAGGAGAACCAGATACCATGTATAAATTCAATCTTATGAATGAGGAAAAGAGAGGCAAAAACTGTCAGATCGTTCACCTGTTTTACTCCAACAGTTGACCAATCAGCATCATCCTGCATTATTAAAAGAAAGAGTTTAAGTAGGGGGACAGTAACATTCAATAGAGGTAAATTCAGAACCTTATCATTAAATATATTTAGGACGAGTAATTGCACTATGGTAAACTATAAGGTTTAATTACATAATACGTCAATTGACTTTGTACACTATATTCAAAATCTTGTACCTTCAATAAACCACCTTTGACCATAATCTTCTGCCTCTCGGGAGGGACTCCTGTGAGATCATACAACTGGCACTTGAAAACATATGGAGGCTGGCTAGTGTCAATTTCAACGTTTGAATACACCTCCTTTTGCCATTTTACACTTACTACAATTTAAAAATGAAGTTGTAATGAGAGATAATTAACAGAGCAAAAACAAGAACTAAAAGCTTTAGCCCCCAAAGGCAGAACTTTGGTCATGCTTGAACCTCATTTCCCTTCAAAGGACAACCCAAAATTTGAAATTTGCAGCTTAAAACATGCGACTTTGAGATTAAATCAAAACTTAATTATATACCATTTCTTTATCATAGTTCTTTCTGCATCATCGTAAGTTTTAAAGTGTTGCCTTACCTACATAAGCTACCATGCAGAAATTTCAGTCCCAAAAATAAAGAAAAAGTTTTAAATTCTCTTTACTTGTTTAGCTAGCTATAAAGATCTTACCCAAGAATCACTCAACTACAGACACCATAGGGCCAATTACTGACTTACAAACAACATAATACCAAAAATCAAAACCTTTGAGAGAAATCCCAGAAGCGCAGAGAAAAATCGATGAAACCCAATAACCCAGTTCAACAAATTTAAAAATAAAGCAGATGATAAAGCTCTAGCAGCTCCATTAATCAAAGATTGATAAAAAACAACGAAAACCCAGATGAAGTCATTGATTAAGAACTAGCTAGAACTGATTAGCGATGAGATAAAGAGCATCCGCACCTGCGACCATGATTGAATTGCTTCTGAAGATCGGAGGGACTGAAATGTTTCAGCACTTAAATCGTGCTTGCTTGAAGAAAGGGAAACTGGGGGTTGCTTCTGTGAAATCCGACTTTTTGTTTGGTTTTATACGGCGTGCTACAATGAATGAGGGTCGGGTCGGGTCGGGTCGGGTCGGGTCGGGTCACGTCGGCGAGTGACCGTCATTGGTCATGGCAGGCTTGGTCTGTCAACGGGGTAAAGGAATTTTGTATGGATAAGGATATCAACTTTTAAAATTTTATTAATTAAGGACTTCAACTTTTGGAAAAGCCATCTCGTAAGCCCTTGTACTTTCCCCATTTTAGCATCAAATTCCCAAAACAAAAAAAAAATAGCATATAAGCTCTCGAACCCTATAATGGATGCAAATTAACCCTTGTGATAGGCTGATAGCAACATTGCTAGACTTGACTTGGTTAATTAAGATGGTGGGGCAATTTTTTTGGCGACTAGCGCGGCAATTAAAACAGACAGATGACAACTAAAGGAATATGGAATAATTTCAATTTAATCCCTAAAATAATCAAATTTGAAATCCTTAAATTTAACTATTTAAACTATTCTTACCCAAGTGCCATAGGCAAAAGAAAGAAGAAAAGGAAGGTGGCATTCGTTTGGGATATACTCAAAGCAATCTCTTCGGGTCTTTCTCTTACTTTTATCTTTGAATTTGTTTTTGTTTCAATTGCCTTTTCAATTGTTGTTGAGAATTGATGAGATTGTGGGAGTTTGCATTTCTATATTTATCCAACATATAGATAATAGATATTAATAGCTGTACTTTTTTTTTTATAAAATAACACTTTTTAGATTATTATAACTTAAAATATCAGAAATCAATTAGGGAGATAAAAGCCTAAGAAATGTGCAAGTAACCAATAGTTTAAGACAACATAAATCCAAGATAACATATAGTTTTTTCGGATAAAAATAAAGGTCTTTAAAAATTATTTTTTCTATCAGATTTTACATAAGCAAAAGCGAAGAAAAATTTCTACCAAAAAAAAGCGAAGAAAAATAGTAATTCATCATTGTAGTTAGCAAGACCAAGTTTATGGATTTTCACAAGTAACATGTAGCTCAATTTTATGACTAATTATATATTGAAACTTTGTGTTATGCTATAATCTATCTTGTAAAAGACTTGGAGTAGCTATAAGTTGACAATGGAACAAGCTAAAGAATCAATCTAGGAGCTTTTACAACTTAGGTTTGGGAGTGATTATTACTTAAAGAACCTCTGGTTTTGTTTTAATCTATAGTATAAAAGTGACTATTGATGGATAATGCATCAAATTAAATTAAAGAATAATATGAAGAAATAATTAAATTCATTTAGGTTGACTTGAATGAATCACAAGTTTAATATTTCTTGACCTTAACTCATTTTTTATATAATAGATTAGGGTTAAGTCAATAAGTCAGACATAATTTTATCACCTCTATTTTCCATTGTATTACCTAAAATTAAAAAAAAAAAAATGATGATTCGTTTACATTTTTTACTGGTATAAGTTCGAAGTTTTAGTTTGACAAAATGTTCTTATATAACAAATTATGACAATTGAAATGAAAGATTCATGTTTATGCCCGTCATTGATAGTACATGGAGTATCATACACATGCCCATCATGTGGGCTTGATTCTATTCCATCTAGGGGTAACTATTAGGTACGGATACTCCAATTACTCATAAGTATTTTACTTAAATTGTA